CCACTCCCAAATGCTCCAGGTCTTTCCCAACCCAGAGCTGGTAACCATCGCCCCTGGTATCTAGAGATATACTGCCACTGTCTATGGAGGTTCTATTTAGCAAGTCTGCTGAATGGTCATTCTTCAGCCGATTCCTCCGTGAAATTCCTTCCCCAGTCAGCCATGCAAATATGCTCACCTCTTAGCCTGCCCACTCGCCTTTTAAAAATCCAGATTCGTGAGGGTAGCCAGGTTGGTGCAAAGCAGCGGAACAAGGTATGAGTCCAGTGGCACCTTTAAGAACAATGAAGTTTAATTCTGGGTATGCACATGAAAGCTTCTACCCAGAATTAAACTTTGTTGGTCTTAAAGGTGCCACTGGACTCAAAACTTTTTGTTGTTGTATTTTTGCATTGTGTGTGTGCATGCGTACACCCGTGCTTGGAAGTCACGGCCACCTCTGGCCACTCCTACTGGGGCATGGAGGACATGCAGAGAGGTGGCTTGATAGCCTGCCTCTGCCTCCCAGCCTGGGTATTCCTTGGAGGTCTCCTGTCCAAATACTTGCCAGGGTCGGCCCTGCTTAGCTTCTGAGATCTGATGAAATCGGGCTTGCCTGGCCTATCCAGGTCATGGCTCTGGACTCAAACGTTGTCCTTCTAAAGTCCAGACACACAACAGGCGCCTGAGTGCATACACATCCTCCGCCAACAAAACATCTGCTTTCCATTCCACCCCCAAGGTGCAGAATCCAGGCAGAAAGGTGGTTGACTTGTGTTTCTTCCCCAGCACCAAGTGCTACGCTGTGTTCCATGGAGGTTCCGTGAACTCCTGTGGGGAACACACGGTGTTGCCGGACCTCCTGGTGGGGCCGACGATCTCCTGGAACTGCAGTTTTCCTCCAGACTAGAGATCAGTTTCCCTGGAGGAAATGGCTGCTTTGGAGGGTGGGCTCTACCCCCGCTGAGGTGCAGTTTTCCTCCAGACTAGAGATCAGTTTCCCTGGAGGAAATGGCTGCTTTGGAGGGTGGGCTCTACCCCCGCTGATGTCCCTCGACCACTGAGCCTTGGCCCCTCCCATAAACATATGACGCTGTCTTATGTCTTATACTTAGGGGTCATTTTGTAGAAAAAAAGGTGCAGGAGCATTAACATAGCTTATTTGCATATGCCACACCCCCTGACATCACCAGAAGTGTGTCAGAAGGCAACACCCACCGCTCAGGCTCCACTGGACTGTTTTGGATTGCTAGCTATTGGCGTACCTGAATAAAACCTGGTCTTAAAGGTGCCACTGGACTGTTTTGGATTGCTAGCTGGGGGGGAGGGGATGTGCAGATCTGTCCTTGCAGAGGAGGGAGAGCTTGTACCTGAATAAAACTTTGTCTTAAAGGTGCCACTGGACTGCCTCCCAACCCTGGTATTCTTTGGAGGTCTTCCATCCAAAACCTTGACAGAGTCAGCCCTGCTCAGCTTCCGAGATCTGATGAGATCGGGCTTGTCTGGGCTATCCAGGTCAGGGCAAACACTGTATCTTCTTGATACAGTGTGGTGTAGTGGTTAGAGTG